CCTCAGGTTGAAAGCCCATAATTACTGCTTCTGACCTTGCAAAGACCTCTTTGTGCCACAAGTTTTATATGATCTTCAAGAACTTCCTTTACTTTTAAAAACCACAACATACACAGTAAGCTGAAAAAATATCCCTGTGCATTTACTGGTAAGCAGGTTTCACATAATTTTTACCAATGCCAGCAGTTCATAGGAGTGCATTACAGTGATTGTTCCAGCTCTACACACCAACTTGCAGAAAAAACATCCATCTGACATTTCAACCAAAGCCTCTAATAGAAATACCAACATTATACTAAGAAAAAGAAATCAGCAAAAGTCACACCTGAACAAATAACCCAAATCCAAAGAACTACCAAAGGGATAAAAGGCCTGTATTCATTTGCTGTGTGATGAAACACAATAAAAATGTGAAATTAGGTACTTAGAGCTACTAAATAGCCAGAATTGTAGACCAAGGCTATTTTTCAGACTAAATACCATTGGTGTGGATGTGTTTTTCTTTCATATACTGGAAACAAAAGTCATGCTATGTCAGCACAGACTGCTAAATAAATCAAGGTTAGTTCAATACAGGTTAAAACATTAGAGAGTAAAAGAACATTCCTTAACATATTTAGTCTTCCTGCAAAGTGGCTAGAGGAAAAAAAAAAAACAAAAACAAAAGGAAACTAATTTACAGGGGGGAAAATGGGAAGACTGATTTATGAAGTCAGTGAAATTGTAAAAAGAGAATATGAAAAATCAAAGCAAACACTTAAATACAAGGGAGAATTCAGGAAAAGAATGGGGGAAAAGTGGTAGTTATCCACATATGTCTCCCTCAGTAAAATGTACAAGGATTAACAGAAAGATTATAATTCAAAGAAAAAAGCTGCAGAATTAATATTTTCATTAATCTTGCTCAAGGGTGGTTTTTAAGTTAAACATAGATGCCACACTGTCTTACCAAGAATTTAAGAAATCTTCTAGCAGAAGTGTACATTATTTCTGAAAAGCAAGTTGGGGCTAAATTTTAAAACTACAGAACTACAATCTTGGCAGATGTAAAAGAAAAATAATTCACTCACAGCAGAATTTACTGGCATTAAATCTGATGTTAGGCTGCCCTCTTCAACCACAGAACCATTGAATATCCTAAGCTGGAAGAGACCCACAAGGATCATTGAAGTCCAGCTCCTGGCCCTGCACAGGACAATCCAAAATTCAACTATGACTTTGAAGGACTCACATCCTTTCTTGAAGAAATGCTTCAGTAACTGTAAACCATGGAAAAGCAAAACTGTAGAAGTATGAGGCCATCTATCAATCCGTAGTGTCCATCCGAGAGCAATGGCATCAGACATGAACCCACTCCTCAGGGAATGCTCATCACAGATGATGCAAGTCTGTCAAACTGCTTTTGAAATAGATCAAAATCAATTGCCCTACTTGGACTATAAGATCCCCTTTCTCTTCTCCTCCCTTAGCTCCAAATATAAATGACAACTAAAATGCTGCCTTTGCTTACTTCTCCTGCAGATCTTACAATGGTATTACAACAGGCAAACTTCTTGAAGAACACACATGTGATAAAAGCAAAGCTGAAGTCATTGTTAAATTATGCAGAATTCAGGAGATCTCTGCTGTTTTCTGAGCTGTGTCCTTCATGAAAGGAAACTTCCTCAAAGCCTGGGATTTGGAACTCTTTTTTCACAGACCATAGTCACTCAACTGGCTTGTGTTTAATTTGAAGCTGCATTCTGTATCTTCTTACCTGGCTACAACTCATGAGTCAGAAACAAACAGCAGCTCAGAGACAGAGGATTAACTTCCTTGGAGCACTACTAGATTAAGTGGCAGCATATAATCAGACCAGAGGATAAATCAAGAACTTCAATATGCCCTATAATACAGAAATGCCTAAAACCCACAAAATAAGTGTACATTTCCCAAACAAATCTGGTCAAGTTCGTTTGACACTGCTGTGTGGCTGTAGTGACTGTGCAAGCTGCTTATCTCATAGCTGTCTTGCCATGAGCCATACCTGTCTCCTCCTCTCTACAAAGCCAATTTCTGCAAGATGGAAACGGAACACTACAAAATTAGAATCGCACCACTAAGATGCTGCATTTGTTTAATTCATCTTGCATCACAAAACCTTTATGGACATCATGTGTCTCACTAAAAAAAAAAGAGGGGGAAAAGAACAAAGAAAACATTTGTAAGTATGACCCTGACCTTTACTATTTACAAACAAATTAAATTCTATACTGTTTCAGGAAAGCATTAGTCATTCAGTAATGTAACACGTTTTTTTGCTAAAATCTGACAGGTCAAGGAAAAAATAACACAAGTCCCAAAATGCAATTGATTCTACTAGAAGATACAAACAAAGATAAACTATAGGTTTTTCTGTGTATCTAAATTACTTTGGTATTGAACAGCATGCATAGCTTGATGTTGCCTTCTTTTGGCTTCAGACCTACACTATAATTTGATTATGGTAATTCTCTTTCCTGGTTTTCAGAAGAACCAATTTTTCATTCTGACGTATCATATCAACAAAATCATAATACATTACCTTAGCAATTGGAAGTGTATCAACTTAATAATCCATATAGTGATAACTAAAGTCACAGTTAAGTATTTAATCTCAAAAACTATCAAATGAATATAGCAAGTGATAGAAAAGGACAATATGTCAACAAAATGATTTCCCAGTCCTCCTGTGCAAATTAGAACACTTTGCTTTCCATTTCACACTTAAGCTGTGGAAATAGGAAATACAGAACATTTCCTTATATCATAAGGAATCCCAAACCTTCAGACTTCTGCCTAATTCAGTGTAGACTGCCAAAAGTAAATAGCCAGATCAAGGAACAGCCCTCTGCTTTATTTTAAAACAATCATAAATCTCTCCTTGCCTGGAGGACAGCACTTAATACTCCTAAAGCTCAGGTCATCATATCATTAATTCTATTGTGCCCTCCTCAAAAAGTAATTCTGGAGCAATAGGTGGTAACTAGGAAGTGCACATCCCAAAACCTTTACCACAGGCAAAAATGAGAAATTCAGTTTTACCTTTTAACAGGCAAAGGTTAATGCAATAGAAAAATATATAGTCAAACAGAGGAGAAAAGTAAATAACTGCTTCATTTCCTACAAACTAAATTTAGTGAAAGCAGATAGTAGAAACCTGGGTCAAAGCACTGCACTGCAGATGAGTCACACACAAATCAATGGATCAAAATATTTTACCTCCTCTTCTCCTTTATGATCTTCCAGGGAAGAACTTTGCTTAATTAGCTACTTCCCCCTTTGTCAGTCTCTTTTTGTTAGAAATTATTTCAGATGTACTTTGTCTGAGGTCCCAGTTTTATGGCCTTGGGGTATTAAATTCCAGCATTTCAGACAAGCCACTCTATCCCTGTCCTGTCACTCTATCTCCATGTGATGATTGTAACACTTAAATCATTATAGAAAGCATTTAGTGCAATTTTACAAGACAGTTTATGCATTCTTGCAGAGAAAGGCTGTCAAACTGCTTACCAGACACTGGTGATCTTCAGTATACACAGTCTGCATGTTCACAGGTGTGCCTCACCATGCAAGGCTGAAATCACCTCTCCTTTGCACACTACAGACACATTTGCCCCTTTCTTCTCCTGTTTTGTGTATATTTTCAGGACAAAACCATGCTCCATTTCAAATCCTCAGTGTAAATCTATATTTTAACTTCTTCCTGTCCCCTCACATCAAAAACAAAAAGCATGGGTACAGACATCATTGTAGACTACACATCCCAAATAGCACCCAACTTCTCTTCAAGTCAGACTCTACAGACCGGCCAAATTTGCTTTCCCAACACCTGATAAAATGTCAGACTTGTTTTTACCTCAAATTCTAGGGTCTCAGCACTTCTCTTTGACTGAGCTAAATTTAGTTGTGGTAATGACTGCCTCAAAGTCAATTGCCCAGCTTGTTTTAGCTTCATTCCATGGGTAACATATATGCAAAGATCTGACAAACTTACTGCTTAACAAACAGGCTGTACGTTAACTGGGGCCAGGGGAGGCTGATTGTGAGCTTTGACTAATGAGTGAAAACAGTAAAACTTTACCTGAGAACCAGATAAATAGAACGAGTAAGCAGACCATTATACAACAGAAAGTTGTAACCATGCAGGAAAGGAAAACACCAATGCAGTGACAACACCCCATTGCAAACCAGTATCAAGGGGGAACTTGCTTCACTTACAAGGAAAAGCCATACAGTGATACCATGAGTTTCTGAGATCTCATCAGATGTATGAAAAATAGAAGGGAAAGCGAGTCTGACTGAAAACTTTTCTTCTCATCTCACTATTAATTAAATGAAGTTGAATCAGATTTAACCAAATTAGCCAGAACAACTAGCCCTGGAATCAGAGACAGCCTTCAAGTATTCAAGTGAACAACTCTCATCCAAATCTTTATCTAAAGTTTGAGCAGACAGAAATGGTGGCACTTCACTGAAAAATAAATGGCTTTTGAAACCCTTCCCAAATGAGAAAGATTAGGAAAATTTATGGTCATCTGCAGCAGCCTACACCAGTAAGAGTATCCTCCTGCAGTTTTGTGTTCCTGTAACAAGTGTTCCTGGTTGCAGAAAGGGGTCAGAGCTTAGTGCCATGACCGAGCTGTTACTCTGCACCATGCATTCCATCAGTGGAGGGCATGGTTTCCAAAGGAAAACCCTGGTGCTCCACTGGGATTTGGCCATTTTGCCTGCCAAACCATTATGCTGCCTTTGGTCTGAGAACACAATCTACTGGAAGCATCCACCATTATTCTTGTTTCCAGTGGTGAACACACGTTTTTGTCACTAAAATACCTTCTTTTTATATCCTTTTACTATTAATATCTCTGTTGTTACTGTGCCATGTCTTATTCTTGCTTTGTGCTTTCAGTAAATTGCTACCTCAACCCACAAGTTCTGCTTTTGCCCCTCCCTTACTGAAAGAGGTAAAGGAGAAGGGGAATGGCTTACTTGGAGTTTATTTTTCAACAGATGCTAAAACTGAACACAAGATAAATAAAAAAAAAATTAATATAATCACAGGTAGCACTTGTGTTAATGAACAACAACTTATTATACAACTTATTATTTGCCCATTTTGTCATACTCAACTTTCAAAAGTACACATTCAAGGCTGTGGTGTGAAACATTGGTGTCATCATCATACTCCATCTGGACCAGTTTTGTGTATGCAGCACTATGTACTTGGCATACAAAATTCGGACATTTTGGAAATACAGCTCATTTGAGAAGACACTTGGACATCATTCCAACACCAATACTAAATGTTCTGTAGGGTCAGAAAGAATGTATATATTAAGTTCACAAACTTGAGCATTTGAACTTATTCATATATTCCCCTTAACTGTAGTGAATGGTGTTCTAAACCCTTTTCTATATTGAAGTTTTCCTCTTCTATAAAAACTTTTTCATTATTTTGACTAACAACTTTCAGCTGGGAGTTCATTTTCTTCCTATTATCTGGTACAGCACTGTGGTAGAAAAGACTAATGCTGATTAAAACACTAATGGTTTTAGTTGATGCTGAACAGTGCTTACTCCAAGCCAAGGACTTTTTAGTTCCTCATGTTCTGCCAACAAGGAGGTGCACAAGAAGCCAGGAAGGAGGAAGCATGGCCAGGACAGCTGAGCTGAGCTGGCCAAAGGGATATTCCACACCACAGAACATCATGCCCAGTATATAAACTGGGGAGAGCTGGCATTCGCTGCTCTGGGATGAGGTGGGCATCCATCAGTGGGTGGTGAGCAAGGCTACTGTGCATCACTCATCTTTCTTGGGTTTTACTACTCTCTTGTTGTTGTTATTATTAGTAAATTTATTTCAATTATTAAACTATTCCTATCTCAGTCCATGGTCACGGGTATGACCTTTTTTCCAGTTTTCTTTCCCATCCCACGGGGGGCAGTCTGCAGACCGGGGTGAGTGAACATCTGTGTGGTACTCCACTGCTAGATAGAGTCAAACCAGGACACCACATTAAGCCATTTAACTACACCTTTCAGTAACCTTTGTGTGCTTTCAGACAGCCACTGTACTTCAGTTCTTACAGTGAATTCACATCTTCATATGCCAGGGCTCTCTCCATGTTAATCTTATCTTCAACAGGTCCAGTCAAAGCTAAAAACTTCCGTAAGAAACCAAATTCAATGTCTAAGATTCTGTCTTTGGTGTAATTTCCAAGCTTTTTGTTTCACATGCTCTAGAATGTTTCAAATCATAGGCCCACACGGTGTCTATTCCCTCTCCAGTAGTGTGATCTGGAATCCAGCAAGGGAAAGGAAAGCGACAGGCAATGATTCTGGCATTACATTCAAGTTCTTCTTCTAGCTTCTTCTCCAGCTGTGGCATCTGTTGAGTTACAAGAAAAACCTCTCAGAAACAGTAAAAAACAGGGGCATTCTCTTTAGAATCTAATTCAGGTGTTCAAGAGAAATCAAAGATTTGAGTAACTTTTTTTTTAAAAATCTTAGGAAAGTATTCATGATAGATATTTTGGCTTTGATGCTTGACAAAGAATATCTAAAACCAGAAAATGGTTATTTTCAAATTCAAATTAAATCAAAACACAAGTTATCCCGTAAATTAAAAAACAAACAAACAAACAAAACAAACAAAAAAAAAAACCACAACTAAAACTGCTGGGAAAAGACTTTGCATGCTCCAATTCATGATTCTCTTCAGTGGGATTCTTCTCTGAGGGAATGAAAGTTCAGCCCCCTGAATTGATGCTATTTATGACACCCTCAGGTTCATGAGCTATTGTGTGATACTCAAAGGGTCAAAATTTACAGTCTAACCCCAAGACCGATCCTGGGACACTCAAAACATCACACAGACAACAACCCAAAGCAAACATTCTGCTGTCAGTCTATGGTAAAATACTGTTACATTAAATAATACAGAAATGGAGCTTAGTCAAATCCACAACCTGTTAACATAGGCATGTGAATCCCTGCAGCAGCATTCCATGAAAGAGAATGTAGAATCATGGAATGGTTTGGATTTAAGGGACTTTTAAAGGTAGTCTAGTTGAACACCCCTGCCATGGGCTGGGACATCTTAAACTAGATCAGGTTGCTCAGAGCCCCATCCAGTCCCCATCTACTGCCTCTCTGAGCAACCCATCCCAGTGTTCCACCATTGTATTCGTAAAATTTTTCTTACTTATATCTAAGATGAATCTGCCCTCTTTTAGTTTAAAACTATTACCCCTTGTGCTGTCCCTACAGCCCCTACCGAAAAGTCTGTCCTCATCTTGTTTACAAGTCCCTTTAAGTACTAAAAGGCCACTCCCTAGAGTCAAGTCTTCTCCAGGGTGAATCACCCCAATTCTCTCAGCCTGCCTCCAGGAAAGGAGCTCCTCTGAACCCACTCCAACAGGTCCACATCCCTCTTGAGATGGGGTGCTCTGGATGCAGCACTCCAAGTGACGTCCCACCAGAGCAGAAGAGGGGGGCAGAATCCCCTCCCTCCCCTGCTGGCCACACTGCTTTGGATGCAGTCCAGGACATGTTTGACTTTCTGGGTTGTGAGTGCCCATGGCTAGGTCCTGTCCAGCCTCTCATGCACCAGCACCCCCCAAGTCCTTCTCAGCAGGGCTGCTCTGATATGTTCATTCCCCTGCCTGTGTTGGTACTTAGAGCTACCCTGACCCAGGTGCATACCTTGCACTCGGTCTTGTTAAACCTCGCAGTATTCCCATGGGCCCACTTCTTGTCCAGGTCCCCCTGGATGGCATCCTGTCCTTCAGGCACGTCAACTGCACCACTCAGCTCAGTGTCACCTGCAAACTTTTCTGAGACTGCACTCAATTCCACTGATTTATGCTATTGATGAAGATATTAAGCAGGACTGCTCGAATAAAGACCCCTGAAGGACACCAATTGTAACTGATGTCATCTGGATGTTGAGACATTGACCACTACCCTCTGAATGCAGCCATCAGACAACTCCTTATCCACTGAACAGTCCATCCACCAAATCCATCCCTCCCCAGTGCAGAGAGCAGAATGCTGAGGGGAACCGTGTCACATGCCAACTCTCCCTGGTTGAATACCTACAAGTCCAGCTTTCCTCCATTCACAAAAATTGAGAGGATATTAAAGTCAGGGGAACTATCACTACTTTTCTAGAACAGAGCAACACCCTGACCAATCAGATGCTCTTTTCCTAATAAGTGCTTTGCAAATTCTGCCATGGATTAAGTGAGAAATAAATTAACACATGTAGACTTAAAAGAATTTTTTTTCCATCCCAGATAGTGATTATGTTCTTGGAAAAAAAGAGAAACCTAACAGATTTAGCCACTTTTGTCCTTAGGAAAAGTTTGATGGTATGTTTAAGCAGATCAGCAGTGCACATCCATTTGGAGTTCCTTTTATTCTTACATATTGTATGTATCTGAATGAGTAATTTTAACAGGCTACTTCTGTTACATGTAAAACACTACTTACTGTGGTTATCATGATGTAATGTTTAAATATTAAAAATTTTTAAAGGGCAGAAGTTATTAACAAATTTAGCTGAATTTAAGTCACAAAGACAAAAATACATAAAATTTCAGAAAAACATGAAAGAAACAAAACCCAAAAGAACATTATTAGAAAATAAGACTGACTAAAGAAAAGGTATTTTCTAAAGGCTGCAAAGAGCTTTCACTATCGCATACATTCAGGGTGTGCCTTTGATGTAATATCCTATTATAGCTAAATTTAAGCTAACAATGGAATATTTTAGGAAAATTACAGTCATAGATCGAATATACCAAAGAGTTACCTCCAAGTATTTTTAAGGCTCTGATTTCATCCACACAACAAAGCTTTTTAACATTTTTGCTGCCTTAAACAACTAGAAAAATAAGCCTACTAGCCCCTTCAACGAACTAGAAAATTAAGCCCACTTTGTTATCTAAAACTGAGTTGAGACACCAGAAAAAAAAAAAATTTACAGAAAATATAAATATGGACATATACTAATTTTTTAGGAGCAATTATGAAAATTAGCAAATTAGAAAACATCATTAATAGTTCAGCCAAGTTCAGCCAAAAAGAATTATATCCTTGAACCAGTCACACTAGTTTTTAAGCTAAATATATTAGTTACATTAGGTGTTACAGTCATACTGTCTGTGTATCATCATTTTATGTGAAGCCAGGGTTTGGGGGAATTTTTTGGTGTGTCAACACGGATACATAGTTTAGTAAACCTTTTGTACAGTATGTAATCAGTTAAAATACACAGGAGCTGCAAACATGAACACCTGGCAAGAATTCCATCATCCTACCCTGAACAAGTCTCTCTCTGCAATAACTCAGAAACAAACACACCTTCCCCCCAATGCCTGCAAGAACAAGAGAGGTCTTAGTCTTCCCTGAAGATCAATAAATTCAGGTTTTTAAAGCTAATCTTGGATATGAAATAAAAGCACTGTGTTAAAGCATCAAATCAGGCCAGCATTATTAAAAAAGCTAAAGAGATCTATTGTTTCTCAGTAAAAAAGAACAAATGCATTAAGGTTTCTAGAAAATTAATTTAGTCATTCAAGAGGCTGAGCATTAACAACTTCCAAAGTAAATTCAAAGGGGATCATAAGCAAACGAATGCTCAGGAAACACAGAGGTTCACATGTTTGCATCTGTTGCATTTATGACAGTACTTCTGCTGAAAGAATTTAACTTAGTATTTACTGGATCTACAAAAGTTACTCTGAGCCCTACAGCTACCCTATCACAGCTGTTACTAATGCATCCTGCTTTATTACATTTAAAAGTTAACTCAGTATTTCTGCTGGGTTTACTCACATTTTCCCAGGGCATTTGTTTATTCCTAGTTTACTGAGCCAGCTTTCCCCACCAGGACTTTTCCCCTCGGTGCAACGGCAGAATTCCTGACCGCAAATCCAAACGTTTCCAGTGCCCCCTGCCGGAACTCAGCAAGGGAGCACGTAACACCCAGGGCTGGCAGCATGAGGAACACCCCGGTGCTCACTAATATCCCACCCTTACCACTTCAGTTTCCAATACGGGTTACAATTGGAATCTGAAGCAGAGGATTACTTTTGGTGCCGTTGAAAAAACAAACAAGCAAACAAAAAAAACACAGAATAGAAAGGTTTATTACGCTCCCTGTTAGTGCTGCAGAAATGTTTTCAGTGTATGCTGTATGGTATGGCATCACATAAAGCTCTTCCTCACTTCATGTCACACCTGCCTTGGCAAAGGAAGAAGCAATACAGAAGCACAGGATGACAAAATCGGGTTTGTTCAGCCTGGGAAAGAGATGGCTTCAGTGGAACCTAACTGCAGCCCCCAGCACCTGAAGGGAGCCTACAAGATGGAGAGGGACCTTCCACAGGCACAGGTAGTGACAGAACAAGGGGGAAGGGCTTCAAACTGAAAGAGAGTAGGTTTTGATTGGTATTAGGAAGAAATTCTTCACATGAGGGTGGTGAGGCAATGGAACAGGTTGCCCAGAGAAGTTGTGGATGTCCCAGCTACGGAATTGGTCAAACCAGGTTGGATGGAGCTCTGAGGAATCTGGTCTAGTCAAATGTGTCCCTGCTCATGGCAGGGGGGTTGGAACTAGAGAAGAGAAGGTTGCGTGCAGACCTCATAGCAGCCTTCCAATATCAGAAGGGACCCTACAGGGAGGAATCTCCTGGTGAAGCTGGAGAGGGTCGCTTCATCAGGAACTGCAGAGATAGGACAATGGATAATGGAAAAAAACCGAAAGGGGAAATTTCAGTTAGACATTAGGAAGAAATTCTTTACTGTGAGGGTGGTGAGACACTGGAACAGGTTGCCCAGGGAGTTTCTGGATGCCCCAGCCCTGGCAGCGTTCAAAGCCAGGCTGGATAAGGCTGTGAGCAACCTGGTCTAGTGGGAGCCATTCCATGCACAGGGGGCTTGGGACTTGATGATGTTTAAGGTCCCTTCCAACCCTTAACATTCTATGATTCTATGATTATTACTGACTGCCTTTGATCATCTGCAGGTTAATTCATTTTGCAGATTAATGTATTAACACTGAATGCCTTGGCATTAAAACAATTAAACATTGTAACAAATAATTAAACAGTATAATAAATAAAATACAATAATATAATAAAAATTAAAAATAAATAGTAAGCTTACCATTTGAGGTACTCCAAAAACAACAACATTTCTATAATGGGAAAAAGAAACCTAAAATAAAATTTGAGAACAAATCTTATTGAAAATGGCATTTCTAGTTAGAGAAATTCTCACCATTCTTTTCTCCTAATCCCTCTAGCTGCACTTCTTTCAACAGGGATTTAGACCAAAATATGCAAGGAAATCCCTTACCAACTTTTCATCACAAAAATTTCCACATAAAGAAAACTTATACTGCTGAACTGCAAAAAACTTCTACTGTCTGGCCAAGGATATAGAATAGCAATTCTAGAAGCACAGAAAGTATTAATTTAGAAAACACCAATATGACTTTACTAATAACTAAAGAGTTATTTTCACAACTCCTGTATATGATAAAATCACATATGCTTTAAGTTTGCCCCTTCTTTTGTTAAATGTTAGCTAGCTATAAAATTTTTCCAGGCATTCTAATGACTGAGTTCTTCCACTCAGCACCATCAAGTTCTCCTATGTTCCTCTCAGAACACAGCCAAAAAAAACCCTCCCACATAATTTACCAGGCCCAGGCTTGCTCAAGGAGCCTCTGCTGATAAAGGAAGCCATTGAATAAAGCACAAAAGCAGCAGAACAGCATACTGAGCCCAAAGAAACCAGATTCCCAGCACAAGAACTCTGCTCAAAGCCCAGTGTAGCACCTTGTGGTCAGACAGCATTTCAGTTTTTTCAGGAAAGTATTTCCAAACTTATAAAATCTCTCAATCATCCTAGATCTCTTCTTACATAATTCACTACCCACCTTCCATAAGTCTGAAATATAAAATTTGGTGTTCTGATGTACTCCATCTCTCCAGGCACGATATCTGGAGTACCAGACTAGCCAGGGATTCAATTCATATCCAACAGCCTGGAATCCCTTTTTTGCAGCTGCTATCACCTACAAGGAAGAAAATAAATCTTCACTTTGAAGCATAAAAGTCTATTCACCTAAAGAGAAGCACACAGTTTTATTTAAAATATAAATCAAAGGAAAGCACCTTCCTAAGTCACCCTGGGTTTAACACCCAACAGATCAGCTGTATAGTGAACAAAAACCGCAAAACTACATTTTACTATTATTACTAGTGCTGACTGAAATATAGCCAGGCAAACAAAATGAAAACAAACATTCACAGGGCAAAGCTGTGAGCTTGCAGTACATCTATGATCCATATAAAAGTTTAATTTAACACATTCATTACAGCATCTTGGAATTAAAGAGAACCAACATTGATTGCAGAGAGAACAGTGAAACTCACAAGCCAAAATGCTCAAAATTAGACCACTTATTTGAAAAGCAGTGAGGGATAGGCACGTGAGCAGCCCCCGAATCAGAGCCAAAATGACATACCAACAGAAAGAGTGTGAAAGCAGTCTTGACTGAAAAAAAAAATTAAAAATGCACTGATTTCTAGAATAAATGTTTAAGACAAAATTTAAAAGGCTACTGCGAACTTCTAATCAGCACTGGCCTGATGAACTATCAATTACAAAACAAGCAAGGTGAAATCAGAAAGTACACATTTCTTAACAGCTTTACCTGGAGTATATATTTCACACTGTTAAAATAATGCATCTTCCATCACACACAGAGCAATTTCAAATTCACCAAAAGAATCTGACATCTTTACCACACTTGGAAATGTGGCAAATATCTTCACATTTATCCAATGATTACACCTGAGTAAGTGCTAAATAATTAAAAGCATCTGAACAGACTTTTTTCAGGACAGATGCATCAAAGAAGCACCAAGCATTCCTTTTTAGGCACCTGGCTTTCCAAATAGTCTCCATTTAGGCACCTATATAATATATAAGAATTAATGACACAGTACCTATTGAAATTAAATACCTCTGATGAGAGTCAGCAGCCGCAATGCCTCGGAAAGGGCCTCAGAAACTGCAGTTATCTCCTGCCTAAAAAAGCTATCACCTAGTTTTTTTGGTGTTTTTCCTACCCAGGCACAATTCAAGCAATCTTCACAAATTTGGGTTCCAAATCAATTTTTTTTTACATGGAAAAATAGTTGACTCATTCACATAAAAAATGGACAAAGGTAGCATTCAGAAACAGATGTGTTTCCATCAAAAACCACCACCCTGTTGCTAACTCTGACTTGAAGCAGGTAGTTATGAAAAAGCAAACAAAACATCACAGCAACAAAAGGAAAACCAAACCAAACAATTTTCTGCTATATCATCATCACATTTCACAAACTGGGGCTCAAGCAATACCCTGGAAACAAAGTATCACTTTTTCTTTCATGATTCTCACCATTTCTCTTGGTGTCTATTCTAGTTTCACCATTTATGGTGAAATAGTTTCACCACACGGATTACGAAGTGGGGAAGCCAGCAGTGCACAAAGGTTTGAAGACTACAGTTCTACCCACACCAGGATTTTTATTTTTATAATCCATCACTAGCTGCCCATTTCTTTTTGCACTTCTATCACCTTTATACATTAAATACCTCACAGCCTCACTTGCTGCAGCTACATACCTTTGTGGAATCACAGCTCTTTTTCAATCAGTACCAAGACTGATAGCATCTTTTCAAGTGAATGTGTTGTGATTCCCTCCAGTCACCACAATGACATTTTGTCCACTACCTTGGTCAAGCTACAGGTAAGACTGAAGCAAAAACTATTTATTACCCATCAAAACTGAATATAAACCTTTCTCAGCTTTGATCCTTTCCATAAGACTCAGACACAACCACCAGATGCCAAAGACAAGACATTTTTAAGTGTGAGAAAACCCAGCCCCAGCAATTTGGCACTTTTTTAAGAGGTGATCTAAAAGGAAGGCAACATCCATAACTTACAATGCGGCCATCCCCGCTACCTATGTCAACTAGGGAGCCACTTCTGTTTTCCAACATTTTCAGCACATTCTGGATCTGAGCGGCGGTGGCAGGAACGAAGGGCAGGCACACCTTCCTCAGCGCCGGGGTGACGAAGGGGGTGGCCACAGCATAGAGGGCCACCAAGGTGCCCCCCACGCCGGCCGTGACCAGCAGGCCCCAGCCGCTCCTCCGGGAGCCGCCCTCGCCCTCCTCCTGCGGGACCTCCTTCGCCAGGCCCTGGCACATCGCGCCTGCGGACGGACGGACGGACGGACAGACAGTGTTTTCAATCGAGACAATTCAGTATCTTGTAGCACAGAGCTACGACGTAAGAGATGAAAAAAGCACCCTACACTTCAGCCGATCCCAAGGAAACGCTACAGCTGCCGAAAAGCTGAGGCATGAGGGGGCAGGAATGCGGTTCCTATTTGACCCCCTGGCCCTCTACTCGGGGCAGCGCGCCCCAAACACCTCAAGGGCGGCGCAGGGACCTCCCCGCCTCGGGAACACGTCCCGGAGTTACTGCGGAGGAACTTTTCCCTGGGACACAGCGACAGCCGCCACACACACTCCAACCCGCCCATGACCAACCCAACCTTGTTCTCGGCCTGCAACACTTATACGGAAGGGCGGTACCACTTTACTATGAAGGGGTGGGGGACCGAAACCTGTCCGAAAGCGCTCCGGAGAGAAGCGCCGCGCACACTTTTTCAGCGCACACTTTTCCTCACGTCACCCGGCGCAGACCGCTGCCGCCTCGCCCAGCGCCCGTATTCCGCCCCGCTCGGTACATCCTCCCTCCTTCCCTCCCCGCCCCCGTGAGCCGGGGCGTGCGGCCGCCAGCGCCGCGCTCCTCCCCCAGAGCCGGGCGGCTTCCAGAAGGCTCGGCTGGGGGCGCCACAAAGCTCCCGCCCGCGAAATAAGGCGCGGGTGTAGCGGCCGCGCAGGCGCGGGGCGGCGCGCGGTGTCGCGGCGGGCGCGGCGGCTTCCGGGCGGTGCGCGCGGGCGGCGGCGGTCGGAGCAGGCCGTGCAGCGGTGCAGCCATGTCGGCCATGGGGACTCTGGCGTTTGACGAGTATGGGCGGCCCTTCCTCATCCTCAAGGACCAGGAGCGCAAGACGCGCCTCATGGGGCTGGAGGCGCTCAAGGTGAGCGAGCGGGGCGGCCGCCGGGGCCGCCCGCGGGCTCGCGCTGGCTGGGCCGCGCCGCGCCATGCCGTGCTGTGCTGTACCGCGCCATGCTGCGGTGGGAGCATGGAGCCCCTGGGGCAAGGCGCTGCCGCCGCTCATCGCCAGCCCCGCCCGAGACACAGGGCGGATGGAGCCTGGACTAGGCCCGTAAGCGGGAGAGAGATGGAGGAAGAGAGAAAGCATGGCCCCGGGGCTGGGAATCCACGGCACGGCGTGGATCCGCCCCCCCGGCTGCGGGCTTTGGGGCCGTCACCCCCGTGGCTCCTGCCCAGCTCCCCAGTGCTCCCTCCCTTAGACCGCAGCCTAAAGCTCGGCCGCCGAAGGAAGGCCGGAGCTGAGTGCGGGTGGTACGAATCCCGACGGAATATGGGAGCAGGCATTAGAACAGAGAGGTTGTGGATGCCCCATTCCTGGCAGTGTTCAGGGAACTGAACAACTAGTTCAGTGTATGGGGCACTGAGCAACCTGGTGTAGTGGAAGGTGTTCCTGCCCCTGACAGGCAGGACCTGGATGATCTTCGAGGTCCCTTCCAAGCCACACCATCCTGTGATGATTCTGTGATGGGTAAAATTGCACTGCCATTGCACTGCCTTCTCTTTTTAGCGTTGCCGAATTCTGTTGCTCCTTGCTTTGTGCGTTAGGGCTGTCATTTGGCTGCTCTGCTTTTGCATGCTTTAGCAGAGCCAGCACAAGGAAAGGCATAGGAAACGTTTCTGTCATAAGACCAATACACACTTTCTGATTCTTTTTCATAGTTATTGTCAGTTAAATCACATTTGCACTACTCACTGTGTTTTCCTTAGCTTAATATTGTGATTTTGGAATGCATGATAATGATTTAACTTCTGGCTTTGTTATCCTTTGTTTTACAGTCTCACATAATGGCAGCAAAGGCTGTAGCAAGTACTCTGAGAACATCCCTTGGGCCCAATGGTAACAATGAAAAACTTTAGTGATTCTCTCTTAGTACTTGTCGTGGGGGAATTTTCAGAATTTTCCTTCATCCTTTGTACATGTTTTTTAGGCTTGGATAAAATGATGGTGGACAAGGATGGTGAGGTGACTGTGACAAATGATGGTGCTACCATCCTGAATATGATGGATGTGGATCACCAAATAGCCAAACTTATGGTGGAGCTGGCTAAATCTCAAGATGATGAGATTGGGGATGGAACTACTGGAGTCGTTGGTAAGAACGTATTTTAAATTTAGCTTCCTTTTTCAAGTTTAAAATCAAGCTGCTTCAGCTATTAAAAAAAAACTGTGAGAAATAACAGTAGCTTTTCTGTAGTACTTCTTTGGAGTATTTATTGTTGCAGTATTCCTGTCAGTTCTTGTATGAGAAGTCTTCTAATCAGGAAGTCTTTTGTGTCTTTTTGAAGTTTAGTTACATTTTAAGGTAGTGCTGTGCACCCCTTTGATACTTTCAAAATTTTTTTGCAGAATTTTCTTCTGGAGTCACCTTGTCCTGCCTTGATGCCTGTACTTCATTTTGGTCTTAACATAATGTGGTTTTTTTGCTAAGCAAAGCAAATAGGGGTTTTCATGTTTTTTTATTATTTAGGAAACCTTGAACTCCTAAAACATTGCAGAAAAATCAGAAAATGTGCTTTTTAATCTGTTGTTAATGTACTTATAATTATGCTCCAATCAAGAATAAAACTTCTTTTTTTTTTTTTTTTTTTTTTTTTTAATAGTTCTGGCTGGGGCACTACTGGAACAGGCTGAGCAGCTGCTGGACCGAGGCATCCACCCCATCAGAATAGCAGATGGTTACGAGCAGGCAGCACGCATTGCTATTGAGCATCTAGACAAAATCAGTGACAGCTTCCCAGTTGATCCACAGAACATTGAGCCTCTGATCCAGACAGCAAAGACAACTCTGGGCTCTAAAGTGTAAGTCACAAAAACTGAATATTGAATGAATATTTACCCTTCCATTGAAAACTCTCTGCGTGGAAAGGAGAAATCCTGGTGGTTTTGTGTTATTGGAGTGCTGCTGAAGGCTCCTCTGTGTTTTGTTTTGTCTAATTCCTCCATGGACTCCTGTCTCAAGGTAAGAAATTGTGAATCCTTTGTCTCCAAAGGGTCAATTCCATGAAGTTAAATAGCTGCAGCATCAATTTCATTCTAACCTGTTAGTTCCAGGTTTCTGCATCATAGTAGGTTCCAAAAGTAATGTAAATCTGTTAAAAATAATAATGTGTCATCTTTTGGGGTTTTTGCCACTAAAAAGATTTTACTTAGGATGGTTCCAGAAGTTCTTTTTCCTTTTTGGGTTCTGTATGTAAATGTATAAATTCAGACATTGGAAGGGCTTCCCTTGCAGAGTTGTCTTACACATGGTTTTTATTTCTTGAATGTTCTTTAGTAGCTTAGTTTTCCTGACTTGTTCCAAATCTGTGCTGAGACTCCATTGACAGAGGTTCCTCACACCAGCCATACTGTGTGTTCAGTTTTCTGCCATAGCCAGCACCTTCTACTTCTGTGAACAAACAAGCAGGACCCCTCTTTTAATACAGTGTGCAAAAGCTGACTGCTGTAGTGGTACTTCTGGCTGTTTGGATGATTGATAGAATCACCTTTTTCTCTGAAATGGTGGAAATGGAGTACAACTTGATTGTATTTTGTTCAAACCTAGAGTGAACCGCTGTCACCGGCAAATGGCAGAGATTGCCGTGAATGCTGTACTGACAGTAGCAGACATGGAACGGAAAGATGTTGATTTTGAGCTGATCAAAGTGCAAGGCAAAGTGGGTGGTAGACTGGAAGATACACAGTTGGTTAAAGGAGTGATTGTGGATAAAGATTTCAGTCATCCACAGATGCCTAAAGTAAGTGATGTCCTTGTGTGTGTCTCTTGTGTGTACTGTCTTAAATAAGAGTTTCTAGCCTACCTCAAGTGTCATCGTAGCATTTATTAAGTATTACACAGTCTTGTGGTTTAGCTTGGCTTTTCACCAGTATATTAACAGAGGAAGGGGCAAGGAGCATGAAATTTTTCATATTGGAAGAGATCAAGGTAGAGTTTACAACAATATTGAGAAATTGTGGTGGAAGGGTGGAATTACTGTACTGCTGAGTGAGGACAGGTGCAGGATTCTGTTTAATATAAAAATAATTATCCCTGGTATGTGATATGCTTAGTACAATGCTGTGTCAAGATTCTTAACCTTTATGACTTGCTATTTTATCCTGTTTGGAACACTCCGGAAGCTGTCCTTGTTTTATGTTTGGTGTAGGTAAGGTCTCCAAGTCTTAGGGCAGTTTACTTTAAGAAAACTTCTACTGCTCTAAAATATTCATTTAGCAGGTACCCACGTTTATCCTGTAGAAAGGAGGACTAGTGGAAAATAATGGTCATGTAATAGTTGAAAAGTTGTTACAAAGATGGGTAGTGTTCTCAGTAGTCACAATGGATAAGGGATGGTTTAATTGAATTTTTCTTTTGTTTTTTAAACATTAAATTATAAAAAGGCATGACTGGTAAAGATTGTTAAGGGCTTAAACAGTGTCTGGGAACTATGGAATTTGTTCTAAGTGGTTTGTTGAGAATTGACAGAATTATTTAGTTATACTTAGTTAATCTTAGAATAAGTCGAATGATCTCCATATTTGCTCATGTGTTTGTGTTTATAAAGATACATCTGTATGTTTTGCAAATACAAGAAAAAAATGTTAATGAGGTCATAAATCATCTTTTTTTTTTTCCAATTGCCCAGGAGCTAAAAGATGCTAAAATTGCCATCCTTACTTGTCCATTTGAACCACCTAAGCCTAAAACCAAGCATAAGCTTGATGTCACATCTGTGGATGATTACAAGGCACTGCAGAAATATGAAAAAGAGAAGTTTGAAGAGATGGTGAAGCAGGTAGCCTTTAGGATTATTTCTGTTTTCTTTGTCTTTCATAGCCTTTAGAAAAAAACAGCATAGTGCATTGATTTGTTCCTGTAAATGAGCTGCTAATCCTGATGGGAAGCAACATATGAGCAGTTGTAATGCTGTGAATCAAAGATAATGTAACGTAAGAAAGAGATACCAGCTTGGTTCAAAA